GTCATATTGCTCCCCATTGCTGACATTTAGTAACAGTAATGTTTGCAGATGGTTAGGGTTTGCATACATTACCATTACTATTTCCACATTCAGGGGAAACACTTGTATGGTATATGTGAGGATACGATACAGTAGTCAGAAGCTTGCAGTCTAATAGAAACAACAAAAAATCTGTTGAGGAGGAAGATACAATCCCACAATTGCAATCTGGCTATTGTTGGAGTTTAGAAGTGATTCCTCTCTGCAACTTCTCCTTCTCTTGTGCTTTCTTGAAACAATTAACTTTGTGTAGAAACAGATCTTTAGGACCAATGTCCAATAAAGGAAGCAGTCTTTCAGCAGAAAACTTAGTCTTTCATCATGTTCAATGAAAAACAATTTTCCCTTGCCATAAGATGAAGACAGATGTGGAAGCCAGGCTAACTTCCTGGAGCAGCAGAGGTAGACACAAAGCATCCACACAGTCTGAATCAAGACAGGTAGGGCAATCTCATCTTTCCGCTTCTCATGCCCATCCCTCCTTTAAATCCTCATCTGCAATTAGTGATGATGTGTTCTAATCCTCTTCATACAAGCTATCAGAGGATTGTAACTTCATATGGGAAAAATCAGGGGAAGAAAAATTCAGAACAAAAATTCTTCTTCCTTATAAAAACATTCAATAGAAAAGAAGGAAAAACCAAAAAAGCAGACAGGCTGCACAGAAAGGTTTGTTTAGAACTGCATAACTTCAGAAAAACAAATGGGCTTTCAATTTATTGCTGTTCCTTTGTGGGCTTGAGATCTTGTTTGAGGGTTCAATTTATGCCTGCAAAATTAATTTCATACTGAAGTAGTCATACTTGTGAGTAGATACTATCCTCTTTAGGTAATAAAAGAAATCATTATAATAATCAGATTTGCTTCTGCAATCAAACAGTAGCTTAAATATTGTCAACAGATATTACTCATGAAGACAATCCTACATTTTTAACCCTTCACTTGCTGTTCATTTTCATCTTTGTTGCTGCTTTCTTGTCCATTCAATGGCAAAGTTTTCTTTTTATTTCATGGCAATGAAAATTTGAAAGGAATTGTTTATTTATACACAGATTATATTATGTAATGCTGCATCCTCAGCTTCAAGCTCAGGAGTATTTATTGTACTCAGATAAATTAGCTTTTTTATTATTATTATGCCTGTACAGAATACACATATTTTGAACATATTTCTTTTCTTTCATTTGTGGCAGGGAGATTTTTTTGACATTTGAGCATAGGCTCTTCCTTTCTATTTTATGCATCTGCCCTCTGGTCATTGTCAACGCCTGCAGTCAGAGTAACAAATTCCTCTTTATTGCACTGTCAGTGTGCTGTCATTATGGTGGACTTTTTCTTCTCCTGGAAAGCTGTTTTGTAAGTTGTTTTTGTAAAGCTATACTACATACGTGTTTGGGATTTACAGGATTTTATCGATCCATTGTTTTCTGGGATATCCAACGCAACCCTCATAAATTTGAAATAAAAAAAGAGAATTTTCATCCAACTACGGACATCAGGCCATTCTGGGAAGTATTATCTACTTTTAACACCTTTCCCCCAGGAAACGCAAACTGAGCTCAAGATCACAAATAGACTTCTGTTTGCCTTTGCAGTACGGCCATAATTTTCCTTATACCACCTCCAGCTCCTACTGGCTTTTAAGAAGACAAAGATTTGTGTGTGATTCTGAACCTAGGTCTTCTGCACAATAGCAAATGGTCCTGCTAGTTCAGATTTTAAAACAGCCGATTCATGTGAAGCTGTTTTTTTTTCCCATAATTATCTTAGCACAAGATACCATTTAAAGAGTCTTATTTAGGATCCTCTACGCAGTAAGGTCACTTTTGTCATGGAATTGTTTCATATGTTATTTTTAACCACAAAAAAAATTTGCCTTTATATTCCACACATTTCACAAGACCAAAGCCCTCACAATATCAATGTCTTTGCTACAAAAGGAGGGCTGGAATTCATAGTTCTGCTTTTTGGTTACTGACAGACTTCAACATGATACAGTAAATACTCAGACAGCAAGAGAACTCTGAGGCTTGAGAAGTGGTGGAAGGAATAAATGTGCTTCAGAGATAGAGGGAGGTCCACAATTAATTCTGCTGGACTGCTTTCCAGAAGACAGTTGCTGCCACGCATAAATTGAGATTATTGGGATTTTGAGCAGATGTGAAATGATTTTATATCGGGTAAAAAGAAGTTTGTTTATGCTTAGAAATGTTAAGTCCTCATAAGTACAGGACAGCCCTGTTCATCTGTTAAAAGCTTGGCTTCTGTTTATTAAACAGAACAGTGAGTTCATAGGATTTCAAGCAATTTCCTGATTTTTCCCTTTAGCTGGGGATGTTCTGCTATAACAAAAGTTACCCTGGTTGTAAATCACTCAGCAATGGTTCCAAAAGTCCTTGTATCTGCAGTTCTGTAATTTCTTCCTCTCTGATCTCAGTTTATAGGAATCACTATTCTAAAACCAGTTTCAGTTACTGATTGAACATTACCAAATTTTTTCAAATATTCTTAGAAGGCTAAAAGAAAGTGTAATTTCATATGAACTTCACCTGCTGGCTATGGAGGATCCTCCTTGGAGCTGTCTGTTCAGTTTCTGCACTGAACCTCTAGATCCAGGGTACTTTCAATTCAATTAAGCTGAAAACAATGGGAGATAAAGGAGCTACATCCATAGTGCTATATCATCAACAAGGACTCCCACAACCATCCTCCCTTCCCATCCAGACAAGATCTTCAGAAGAGTTCATAAGGCAGCTCGCAAATCTGCCTGCACAGAAATGCCTGACACCACTCCAAGCTGAATAACAAGTTGCAAATAGTTATCTCACTACCCAGGTGGCCTACAGATCCCCTTCAGAAGACATTCACTTCCCACCCAGACAAGAATGAAGTCAATGGATGGTGTGCCAACAATGAAATGCTTGACTCTATGTGCAGACACATTTCAGAAATATTCCTTTTTGCATTAGAAGACCAGGAGAGATAAAGGGAACATAATTAGGAAGGGTCTGAGTGTAAAGAACAAGGTGCCCACAAACATGGTTGAGAGGAGGATAAAAACGTGAAGATGTAAAAGCTGGAAGGAGGATGGGAAAAGGATAGACTGTAGGAGGAAGGCATGTATGAAAAGGACCTCAAGCCAAAAATAATCTGTAAGGTCTGTAGGTGGTACCTAGACATTCTGATACCTACAATTTCTTACCTTAGCATGAAACATAACATAGGAGATCTCAAACAGGAACTAAAACCAGTTTCCCATCCCTTCACCCCTTAAGATGGAAATCCTTTTGAGTATTTTAAGATCACTCTAAAACTATTCTGGCGCTCATGCACTCTTGCATTCTCATGCAGAACAGTTATGCCACAAGTGGATGATGTGTTGAGAGAAGAGAATGGACATTACACTAATAACTTCCAAGCAAAACCAGACAAGAGGGCTACTCTGCCTCTGCCTTGATAATTTGTTGGATGATACAAAAGCGATACAGCTGAGTACATCATTACTCACATCTTGAGTACTGCATATTCCTGCAGTAGGTCATGCTGGCCATTCTACCTTCTGTCCTTCCTGGCCTTGCCTAGAGAAATCTGCACTGCAAAGGAGAGCATGGAAGAAGAGAGCACAGGCAGTCATTTTGCTATTTAAACTCTATAATTACTGCCAGTAAGTTCCATTTTTAAGATTAATGCTCTGCACTGAGCAGGAAACTAATTTTTGAAAAATGTAAGTCATATCTAGCAACGGCAGAGGTACAAAAGTACCTGAGAGCTTCTGCTTTTCCATGGTTTTTCAACATGTGCATGACTGATGTTACAACTCGTGATTTGCTGGGTGCCTACCTGGCAGGGAGTAATGAAACATGGACTTCCTCCCAAAGTTGCACTGACAGCCTCAAGAAACCACACCACTGACTACCCTAGCCTAGGCTGTAATGTCGAGTAGATGGTACAACCAGTAAGTCTGTAACGACGCTCAAAACCTGCCACGGTATACTTTGAGCTGTAAGAACTCATTTGGTACCAGATCACAGTCAAATGTTACTAGAATTATATTCTAGAATAATTACCATGTTATTCAATAATGTGTGCAAAAAATATTAGGTTTCATCTTTTTTCCCAGGAAATCAATGACCTTATTTAGTCACTTGGTCTTCTTGTTGTTAACCCTTCTTACTGACTGCTCTTCCCCTTTGAAACAAGAACTGCTTTTGATAGCTGATTTTCTACGTTTTAAGCACAGTAGCCACTTAAATATTTTATACTTAAAATTAAATAAGCCTATTCTTGATAGAATGCTGCGTTTCTGCTTGTTACAGGCCACACTCTTTTGCAGTGTATTTCTTCTTTAGACAGTTGCTTACTGAGATTGCTAACTGACCTTAGTATTTTGATAACTCAAGAAGCAATGCCTTGCAATTCAAACAGCACATACTCTGGCATATTTATGTTCTTAGCTTAATAACATGAGACCTAATACTGCAAAATGCCAAGTACCCTGGGCTCCCACTGCAGTTAATGGAAATTAACTGTTAGTACTTCAGAGTTGTACCCGAGTGCTAAAAGCATAAGATACACTAAAACTACTGGCTTCACTAAACAGCAAAGGCTTCCTCCTCCGTTTCCTTTTACTGACCATTTATCTTCAGGAAAAGCCAGGTCAGTTTTTTCCAATTTCTTGAGTTACTCAAGTAGAGCCAATTTCAAATTATCAAATCTGACAAGTTTTTTTGCTGGTTGTTAGCCTGTTACAGCGCATTTCAGACATTACCAGATATCCTTTTACACAAACTCTGGGGGGTTTTCCTGACATTGGCCTAGAAGCTTTTAAAGAATCCTTCCCAGTAAGTTGAAGAGACCCTGCAAATTACATTTTAGGCCTTCTGAAATTTTTTTCCTTCCCCTGAAACAAAGATCTTTCATTGTCACTCACAGAGTCTACATTGATGTTTTTTCACTTTCAGGTTTTTGGCAGTATCCGGTATTGCTAAGGGACATTTAATTCCTACTTCCAGTCCAGTCCTTAGGCTTCCTGGCACAGAGGCAGCTTTTCCAAGACTATTCCAAACACAGGAGATGGTGAGTTGCTTTCTACCCTCATACACAAAGATTCTACACTTGCGTTTGTAAGGGATGATCAAATTCATTTAGTTGGGTCTTTCATACGGGTTCTGCGAAGCATGTGGAATGGAGAGTTTTGCTGAGCTCTACAAGATTGACCTTTCCTTAAAGTAGTGCAAGAGGAGAGAAAAAGCTGAAGTAAAAGAGCAAGCAAACATAGCCAGTTGAAGGTTGACCTACAAGGTTACTGCAGGCTTAACAGAGCAATCTGCACATGGTGCAGTGGGAGGCTACCGACCAGCCAGGGAAAAGATGTCAAAGAGGACAATCAGCTTCAGAAAATGAGGGCAGTGGCCAATGGAGGGATGACTGAATAAATGCAGAATATCTAGCACAGCCTGAGAAGTTCAGGCGCTGCAGGAGAAGCTAAGTTTGCAGTCCTAGATCTGACTGACCTTCTACATGGCCTTGGACAGTTAAATACTCAACATCTACTTCAACTAAGGGGAAAAAAAACAATGGTGGCAATATAATGCTTCATTTCACAGATATATTTTAAAGACTTAACCTTTGTAAGACATTTTGAAGATGAAAAGCACAGCAGCACTCATTACTTTGTGTAACCAAATTTCTCAGTGCCAAGCTGAACCTAAAATCTTTTGATGTTAGCTCATCACAGAGATATTTTGTGAGAAGATTTTTCTCACTTTTGTGTTGGCCTGTGACCATCTCATGCCACTGCATGCTTGGTTTTATTCCTGGTTTTGCTGTGTGCAGTTTTTCAAAGTGACTTTTCCCATAGGACATAACAGTAGACTTTTAACAACAACAAAGATTAAATCCCCAAAACTTGTTTCCCATAGCAGTTCAAATACAACAGATTATTGTTAACATTTCATAAAGTACTTACAACTGGTTTGAATACAAAAACATTTAAAAACAGAAGGGTAAAATGTCCTGCAACAGTAGCAAGAGATAAAATCAACATTTAATATCAAGACACCTGGATAATAAAGTAATAAGAAATAAATTAAAATCTTCAGCAGTCAATTGCCTGAGTGAGCTCACATGAAGTATGACTGCTCATAAGTGGACCTGAAAATTGCACATGCTGAGAGAGACTAGAGCAATGTGCCACCATTTGACAGTCAAAGCCATTCTTCCTGGGGTATTTAACCTCATTATTTTTTTTTGCTAGAAGAAGAAACGGACCCTCATGGCTGATGTTTTCACGTGTTCAGCACTCCTTACTCTGCCTATATCTACACAAGTTCAGAGTCCTACCAACCCAGGATCATGTCTGAACTCTTGGTGCTGAAAGACTTGGCAAGGTGTGCTTTAAAAGTCTCTCTCACAGTGAGAGGCAAAGGTTACTCTGCTTGTAATAACAGAACAATTAAAAAGTGTCACTGCGCAACTGTAAAACTGACGAAAATAAAGTCATCTAATTGATTCATGGTAGCCTTAATGAAACATACAGATTTTAGTGAAAAATAAGTCAGAATGCAGGCCAGTTTCATTCAGCCCTTAAAAGCCCTTTCTGCTGCCATGAGGAATGCATACAGAAAGACAAAATTCCCAAACTTGCACAATTTTATACTTCTAAGTTGGATTTTACCTTGACCAGGAATTCCTCCAACTGTCATGTTAGAGGATGAATGAACCAGGTACCTGAGGTAACAGTTAAGTGGGAGCTCTTCTGATCTATGATCTCAGCCCATTGCTGCCTAATTCATTTTCTAAAAGGGGGACTAAAGATTTCATTGTAAATCAGGAGAAATACATTGCATATCTGTAATGAGACTCACGTAGCAAGACAGAAGAACTGTCAAGTCTTCAGGAAAACAGCAGGGTAGATGATACTCTTTGTCTCCAGCAGAGTTTCAGCCTGAAAGTTGCAAGCTAGACTGCATGAAACAAGTGCTCTAGTCCATACCTGGTTCAGCTATGAAAATTAGCAGTATCTGTATCAGCTGCAGGTAGGGAGTTAATGCCTCTCAGCATGGCTGTGCCTGTAATATAGAAAAAGGGAAGTTTTATGCTGTATCTGGGAAGTTCAGCAGAGTCAGGTGTGGAGAAAGTTTGTCTTTCCTTTTCTCTTGTCATTTTTAAAACCTACATTCTTTCTTACTATTTGCTGTTTTGTATCTAGTACAAGAGATATTTTTGCTATTCGTAGTTCTACTGTAATACCTGTGTGATATTATAGAGGGAAATTGCCTGGTAGGAGAAAATGAAAAGGAGTATAATCAGGGCTTTTTTTTTCCTCCTTTTTTCTTTGATGGAAATGGGTTTGCTGGCTGTACGCTGGTTTCTAAAAGATAATGACAGACTGGCAGCTTAAAGAAAACAGTTCTTGACAGCACACCAAACATTTTGTAATAGTTTGTGTCATATAAAGCACTTTCATACCATCTGTGCTCCAGCAGCAAAGGGTTGCTCTGTCCCAGGCAGAACCTTTTGTCTCTGCATAGGCAAAAGAGTCAATGGAGCCAAGTATCAGATTTATAAATTTTGTCTCATGCTGGATGTGTGTAGTGTCAGTTTCTTCTGTAAACCCTCTCTGTATTCCCAACTTCCTACAGTCTGTCAAGAGCTGCAGCACAGCTCAGCAGAAAGGCAGGGATGCAGAGAACCGTGAGTTCGGCTGTTATGTTAGTGCCACTTTTTGTTTAATACTGCCTTGACTTGCTGAAGAAAAGAAATAACATAAGCAAAAGAGGAAAAGCGAATGCAACTGAAAGACAAGCGTGTGTCTCAGCGCTTGTTATGAAAGTCCCTTCTATTCTGGGGAAGGCAGGATATTTTAATGAGGAAAACAGCATTTTTTCAAGTATTTCTTTAAAAAAAAAAAAAAAAGGCTTTCTTTATAAAGACAGCTTACTCCTAAGATAAAGTAACACATACACTATATGCAACTTAAATAAAGACCAGGAGGGAAATTAGAAATCAGAGTACCTTGATTATATTAAATTGCCTTCTTCAAGCAGTGGTGTTTGTCCTTATTAAATAATTGTATGTTTCTTAGTATAAGAAGAAGGGAAATCATTAATACTAACACTTACATAAGTAAAATAAAGGATTATTCCTTATAGCACTATCAGGCATGGTATTTGTGGCAGTAAAATCCCACATGCCTATGGCAATGGAAAGTAACTCAGTTGTTAAAATTTTCTTTGATTTGAAAGAATTTTAAAAAAGAAGAAAATCTCTGAAAAGAGAGAAGAGCAGTAAGCCCTAAATGCAGCCTCTGATTTCAGTATTGTCGACTTTGAGGCTCAATACTTTTCTCATTATCATCACTGCTTCATGGATTTTCTAACTTTAATGAATTTCTATGCTCAGGCACAGAGCTATTTTCTTAGCTATCTTGCTTCACTATTCTGATAGAAGCAGTCTTTTAATTTAAAACATTATTATTAAAAGTAATGCTTGAAAGACTTATCTGAAAGATATATTGTTTTAGCAATAGTTGCAAATCAAAATGCAACTGTCTAGATACTCAATTATATATTTTAATGGAAGACTTTGAGTAAAGCTTAGGCAGAAAGAAAAAAAAGTACTTACCAGCATTTATCATTTAAATTACGAGCATATTTTAGACTATTCACATATTTCTTATACCTGAATAAGGTTGAGACTGAAGCTAGTTCAGTGGACAGCACTTAACTTGTGAAGTCTCTGCCCTTGGAATACGTTGCCTCAGTAGTATTCTAAAAGGGCAAGGTATTCTTGCATCTTTTCTCCAATGCATTAAAAACTAGCATCTTTCAACATCTGGTAGTCTTACATTACACCACTTAGTCTTTTGTAAGCCACATAAATATTTACCATCCTTTTGTCTTTGACAGTACTCCAGACTTTCTTCTTTTGTGATCTTACAGGGTACTACTCAAATACTGCTTAGGCTAAGGGCTGTTTATCAGAATTCACACTACATAGTGCCTTCACTGGGACACACATCAGTCACTAAGCTGCCCAAATTATGTTTGGTTTTACTTTTAGTTTTGGATCTTGTAGGGTTTTTTTCTGCGCTCAATACAGCGCAGCTGATTGCAGGTTACTGAAAATCCTGAAGTTTACACAATAGTGGTTAGAGCGTCCTGCAGGCTCATGCTGACCAACAAGCTCACATGATACAAGTTCACCTGTACATCAGCTGAGAATATGCCATGGAGTTTAACCCCTCCAGTGCTCCATGTACCTCAACCCTCAGCTCTGCAGAGTTGATGTGTTCTGCACTGCTCAAACTCCTGGCAGCCACCTCGATCCAGAGACCTTTGTAATGCGGCAGAGGTGGCAGTGATCCCTGTAAGGCTGAGATCTGGGATAATTCATAAAATCAGAAAAGCATCTGGGCTCACAGAACCTTGTAAGCTACACAAGATGACTCTCTTAGACCTTCCAAAACAGGAATATAATGGAGATTTTAAGTGCTAGCCTGTCAAGCTCACATATTGCTTCCCATGTAAAGAGAGCAAGTATGCTCTGAGACCTCAAGGTTGTAAAGTACTTAGCTTCCCTACACAAGCACTTTCAGTAAGACAGAGGCATCATCTCACTGTGTAACTGATTCATATGTAATATGCAACTTTTCTTTTACTGTTATTTGGTTTTGACCACTATGACTTGCCTGTTGTCCATCTTTCTGTTTTATAGCAGGCTGCCAAATGAAAGCTAGCAACACTTACATTCATATAGAAAGTCACCATGTAAATATTAGCATTTCCCTATTTGTAGGTGGCTCAACTAAAGCAATTGCCGGAGTTTGTAGACAGCAACAATGCTGGTAGGTGTATATTTTATCTCAGCACCGAACGAGAGTTCATTCCAGCTTCTTGGCTATCTGGTTTCTTCTCTGATATCTGTACCCCACTGTTTTAACACATGCACTGACCTAACCTTTTGACAGCTTAACAAGGAGGCATCATGATAGACAAAAGTTAGCATTTAAAATGAAATCTGAAATGCAAGATAGGCCTTACCTGCAGAAGGGTTTCATTTTGGCATAGTATTTG